GATGGTCATCATGGCATTAAAGAAAACAGCCTCCGCAGTCGTTGCGTTTCTCGCGCGCCACGAAATTCGATGATATAATAATACCTGCCAAACATACTTCGTGAGATAGATGAAGTGGGGCGGCTATGCCACGCCAAAATATGTATTAATATACGGAACCGCAGATCGATAACGTGGGGCGGCTATGCCACTCCAAGATATGCATTAATATAAGCAACCTCGGATGCGCGCAAGATACGTGATTTATTTTCGTAGCACGCCCGAAAAGAACACCATGGCAAGATCGGGATGGCATAGCGGCCCCTCGAACAGAGATAGTCTCACTGATTCAGCGCAGTAAGATCGGGATGGCATAGCTGCCCCTGGAACAGAGATAGTCTCACTGATTCAGCGCAGTAAGATCGAAATGGCATAGCGGCCCCTCGAACAGAGATAGTCTCACTGATTCAGCGCAGTAAGATCGGGATGGCATAGCTGCCCCTCGAACAGAGATAGTCTCACTGACTCAGCGCAGTAAGATCGGGATGGCATAGCTGCCCCTCGAACAGAGATAGTCTCAATAATTCAGCGCAGTAAGATCGAAATGGCATAGCGGCCCCTCGAACAGAGATAGTCTCACTGATTCAGCGCAGTAAGATCGGGATGGCATAGCTGCCCCTCGAGCAGAGATAGTCTCACTGATTCAGCGCAGTAAGATCGAAATGGCATAGCGGCCCCTCCAGGTCTCACCAGGCAAGGAGTCTCTGTTCATTGAACTCAAGAGAGCATTGCTGACGAATAAGTGACTTCCGATGGGTCCAGGAGGCGGCAGTGTCCAATCGAAGGGCGCCAGGTGACGTCGTTGAAGATCTGCTGGTATGCCTGTAGTGTACCTACAACCCCTTGCAATATCTTCTCTCCCTCCCCTCTTCTACCAGTTGCTAGGGAACTCGGGGGCTGCCGCGGTTCCTTCGGAGTGATTGATCTCCTGATTAGCAGCTGCGGCTGCTAGAGCTGACTTGTCTACGGCTGTCGCCAAGTGTTGTGACATCACCAGACCACGGAGCGCTGCCAGCCTACAATGCCTCTGAGCAGCAGAAACAGCTAGAGATTTTACCATAGAGAGACCGGTCAAGATGGCTCGATCAGAAGCTCACAGATATGCTATACAACTCTCTATTGTACCCTCATACTCCGAACAAAGCCCCACATGAACCTACCACTGCCTTGTCGAGTGCTGCTGCCGCCGATACCCCCAGACTCTCCAGCTCCTCCGGTCGGACATCCCATCGTCTGATGTGACGGGGGGTATGAGTTCTATCCACATGCAATGCATGATTATGATTGTGCTCAGAGAGGAGAGGAGTTAGCTTTATTGGCTTCAATCGAGGCATCTCCGGTAGGATAGGCCACGACAGAGCTGGTGGATGTATAAACACTTTTGCTGGAGAGAAGAACGCTGTAGGGGTACCGTCCAGTAATCTGTCTAGATATATCATCTGTTGGGCATTATTCACGCTTTATTGGCAAACGCCTATCGAGACAAATTCACTACTGTGTGACGCAATTCACTCTCGTGGAGGACTATCATTGTAATATGACCACGACAGCGGTCATCAACTATTCCATGAGAACTAATGAGAGAGGTCATTCTAGCATCGCAGTAGCAGTATGTGGGTTACAGTATCAACAACCCCGACAGACGTCCACATTCGGACTAGAGACAAGCAATAAGGAAAGAAAGCAAGTGTTCAACAGCAATGGTGTTGTCACCATCCACCGCAACGACCAAACAGCATCGATAACAGACCATTCGTATCGAATAATAAAAAGTTGAGGAGTTGATTATGATGATGATGATAGAATAGACGACTCATGTCCAAGTAGTGTGGAAACCATCGACATGGCTCCTCTATTCGACTACCTACTCTACTACTACGGGTTGTCTCAGACTCCCCCATTGCGTCAAAATGTCTACTAACGGCTACAGGAAAAACTATAACGACTCTGTGGTCGCACGAACGGCAAGGATGACGACTAACTCACTACAGGATATCCTGGTTCATATGTAACCTCTATCGACCCACTATAGAGGGAGGATCGACCTCTGTCATGAGCAGCAACCCATTACGAGGGCTGCTGCCACCCGCAGTACCTTCAGTTGATGATGAAGAAGAAGCTAGCCTATACCGTCGAAGACGTCTAGCAAGGGTCTCCACTTGAGCACTTGAATCCACAGGACATTCAGGTTTATCTCCTCCTCTATACTCTAAAGTCATCTCGAAAAGCAGTGAGTTCCATTCAGGACTCACACCTAAGATGCAAACCTTGCCGCCAGGTGTAACACAAGCAATACCCTCCGCACTTCTACACCATCGACTAGGCATAACGCTCGTGAATTGCTCAGACAGCCGAGTACAATTGTCAACCAACCTGTATCCTGTAACCTCGCCATTCGCACAGGAAAACTGCAGTAGTATTTCATGACAGCCACCGAGCCAACACAAACGGCTGGAGCCATCAAGCTGAGCCACCAACGTGTGACCAACGTATACTTTCCCACCAAAACAGTGACGCATTATGGAGTACCCAGAGTTGGTCTTGATTCTATGTAAGCCTACGACAGGCTCTGCTTGGCCGTTCACAACAGGGAGCATCGGATAACAGTTGAATGCAGTTCTGAGCGGCAAAACATATTCCTCTTCTACGGGTTGACGTCGCAATAAGGATACCATACGATCGTCAGCCAAGTAAAGACGCCCTGCCTCCCCAGCTTGAAGGGTCGTTACTCTATCCCAGTTAATCTTATACTCCCACGGTTGAGCCGCTACAGTAGGCAAGACCTTACACCAGGTAACAGCCCCTGACTCCAACTCATAACGAAATACACCACCACGGTACTCTCTTCGAACATAGTAGATGAAGCCATCAGCAGACATAGTTAGGGTGTTCACAATGAGATCCTTTACGTCGAACAAATCTATCGCAACTCCTCCTAAGGGTTCCACAGGACCATTCATACCAACAAACTTTCTCTCTTCGTGTTGTGCTGGGCAAAAAGGCGTTATCATACTCAGTAGCCGCACCCTCGTAACGTTGCCTTCTCTCAGCTCAGCATACACCACTTGATCACATTGATAATCATCCGAATGCTTAGCAAGAACTATATTATATTCGCCCATGTCCGACATAACCACATGCAGGTCAGTGAAGCCCAGAGCTCTTTTGAGACTGCAGAACTTGTAAACGTCCGAGACCACCGAATGACTGCGTCCCACTAGCTTCTTATCTAAAGCAGCGAGCTCCATAGAGAGCTTCCGGCGACAGGCTGTTGTCGGCTTCACTGGCAACACCGTCTCCTCCTTATCGTGGGGGGCAAGTGTGATGACGTTGGAAAAGTTTGAAGCACGTTCGGGGGTAGCTATAGATACACTCATAGAGTAGTTGGCTATGATGATGATAAAATAAACTGAACAAGAATCAGCAGCAGCAAAACACCACATTTATCATTGACGACGACGCGGCAAACTCATTTACTTTAGCGCTCGCCCAAAAATAAATAACATTGTGAACTCCACACACAGTCAAGACACAAAAACGAAAGAGATATTCATTTGAAGCGTTCCCGAAGGCTCCGCTTATGGCCGGTCTTGGTCGTCCTCGTCTCCGTGGACCTTTCTTCAGCACGCATGAGAGCGTCCAGCACTGAAATCGTACCGCCCTTCCTCGTCCTAACCGCCACCCTAGAGGCTTCTGATGATGACGATGGGCAACTACTATTAAATCCAGACCGTGATAAACGACGTCGCTG